CGCCTTCCATTTTTGACAACCTTAGGAATAGCGTTCAAGACTTCTAATAGATTAAGTTCATCAGGCGCATCCGGTAAAATCGAGAAGTTCCGCATTCGCAGCAGGTTTGCGATAAAAACTCTTTCCAGGCAACCACGGCATCCTGTAAACTAGCCAAATTACTTAGTGTTTTCGCTCCAAGCCGTCACCGTGGGGAGCCATCATCGAATGAAGAGCACAGTAAGAGAAGAACCTTCAAACTGACATTTTTGTTCCGATTGGTCCGTTGTGATTTCAGCGCAGTTTTCACGATCCTTTTGAGACATTTTCGAAAATGGTCCTTGTCCGGGTGACTAAAACTAAAAATGATGTAAATTTACATAAGAAGTGAAGTGACCAGTCATTGCTTTGACTACCCGCTCAGTGGATTTCTATAAGAGGGAGATAGGGTTGCATATGAAAATTGATAAGAAACGGCAGGAGCATGTTGGAGTGAAATTAGTGGATTACCAATCATTTCAGTGATATTCACTCATGCATTGGAAGTTGGCCCGAAACACAAGCGGCGACGACGGCACAACGAAACCGAGTTTTTCGATGGCTATTCAAGAAGAGTCGGCAATGGGTACGGTAAAAAATGAGGTTTAATCGCCTACGTAGGAGAAATTCAAAGACTCGCTGACTTTCCATCGAACACTCAAGATTTGGGAGATATCATCATTTAAATTCGCGAGAGAAAATTGACAGCAGTAAGGGGTGAATTGATGACTGACTGGTGAGTTGTTTTGTTTGAAACCTTGATATCATTTGTTGTGGTGTATATTTTCCCATCGTCGAATGTGCAGAACACCCTGAGTACCAAGTATGGGATGTAGGATCTTCTTCTGAACAGAGCTCGAAATGCGCGTCGCGCTTGCCTCACCCGCTGCATATCGCAAACATGTGATGGAATTCATGTATAGTCGGACGGTCTTAGTTTTTCTTAGTGAGGCCTTTTCCCTCTGAAAACCACTATTACAACGCTCCACCCGAAAAAGAAAAAAATTGATTCAAACTAAGTGAAAAAGCAAAGTAGGCACGAAAAAAGCGGGGTGCTCTTGATAAGTGGGGAGGCGGAACAAATAAGAACGCAGCTCAAAGAGACTACTGGAAGAGATTCGACGCATGCGGCACTGCCAACATGGGAATTCGAGAAGGAGCTCTACCCTCCACACCCTGAGGGTTAGATACCTGAAGTACTGCCAACCTCATTTTCATTTCGTTCATAACGTGGAAGTCCTCAGACTTGATTGGTAGAGAAGAACTTTTACAGTAACATTTGTGTTTACAACCATTTGTTTGTTCCAGTAAATGGCGAAACAGGGAGGGAAGAGCAGCAGCAGAGGTAATGCGAAGCCGAAGATGCGTTCTCGACGTCATCGAGGTGAGCATTATGATCCTCTCATCGTTTTGCCCTCTACTGTGAAATTCAGTTTCCATAGTCGGTGTTACTACAGAACCTTTCACATAATTTAATGTGTTCCCTGGAGTTCTATAAAAGGCCAAAGGATAAAGTCTTAGGTGTTGACAAATTCTATTTTGAGATGCGTTACACATTCGACTTCCCTTCAGAATCGTGCATGCGTACTGAATACCCATTTGGATTATGCAGTGTAAGAGGGGTTTCCTGATAAGTATATAAAGGATAAAGGTCGAAGGTTTTGGCGTTAATCAATCCTGTCTGAGGGATGCGCCCCCGCACTCGACTTCCATTCAGAATCGTAGTGGCGTAATGAGTGCATATGTGGCCTATACAATGACTTGGGGTAGCCAGCCGATGTACAAATCAGTGTTTTTATCCTCCCAGACGTGTCTGGCACCAACTCACCGACCCCGGAGGGATCGGAGGGATGGAAGGCTTGGTTGGCCTAGACGGGCATCAATCCGGGATTCGAACCCCTGACCGTGCGTGTGATATAGTGCGTCACTTGACACTCCACCACCTCTTATTGGCTATTGGTTCCGAGATGATTTGTGCCTTCCCCCCTCCCTTGGGCTCAAGACCAAAGTACGGAACATCAGACCACCCATAGCTCAAGATCTACAATTCTGGTGATCGCGAAAGTCGCGATAATCCCCACTACTTGAGGTTCCGTTCTTGTCACACGTGTTAGACAACATGAAACGTATTAGTGACAAACGAACCAATATTTCACAGAATTCTGGGGAATTCTGGGAATGGGTAGACTCGTCTGAGTAACTTCTCAGGCTGCCCAGCTCCTTGATCCTGTTTTCAGCTTCCCTCTTCGCATCCATTGCTCCAGCCAGGTTTTTGTTGATTTCCGCGGTCGCTTCCGATGGGTCGGAGAGAGAGCCATGGTGTCCACACCTTGTCCACAAAAAAACACAGCAAATCGTTCTACCGTCCCAGCCCCTTACGATTCCTCGACTAAAGTTCCTGGGTTCACCTATGGGTTCCTTTCCGAGATCGGCGATGAGTTTGTCGAGTTCCTCAATTTTTGCGTCAGCGTCGAAGATTTCTCTATTTATTTGACGTCTGCTCTGGCACATGAATACCTCGTATTCCTCTCCATCGTCCACTGCGACATTTTCCATAAATTCCGCATTCCACTGGATGATCTCCGCTTCCTCTCGATCAAGGGGGTCCGGCTCTGACTGAAGCACCGCCGTCTATAGTAGGTTGTTCGCAGCCTGCCGTTGGAGACAGTTCCCAAATGGTGCTGGTAGTTGTGTTGCACAGGCGGTCCATGCCCGAAGATATAAGCTTTTGAAGCTTAACGTCTCGTTCTGAACAACGGTTTTCTGTTCCTCGAGATTGTTCTGATCATTGCTCGGAAGAATGCTTTGGAATCCAACTTTCACTGATTCTTTGACTTCTGTTAAGGCCGATAGCACGGTTTCTTGGAATTTCTCTTCCTGGTGCACTTCCTCGCCCTCGATTTCATGTCACAGCACAGTCAGCATAGACCGGTACTCTTAAAGAATGTCGAACTGGCTGAGGTGACATGCTACAGCTGGTACTTATCCAGAACAAGCGTTGTAGCCTGTTGATCGGGGCGTTTCAATCGTCTTCAGATATCAGTCCTCAAGGTTTATTAACGGCAAATAGCGTGCGCAGCTCTGTGCGTAGAAGCGCGAACTCAGCCCATGTCTTTTTCCTCAGGGTTTCTAGCAACACCTCCTTTTACCTCGCTGACCATCTCATTTATGCGCTCTTCTGTGCTGATTTGGGCGTCTACCGCCTCCACCGTGATTGCCATTTTCCACTGGCTTTCCTCCATGTCTGGTGTCACCATCTGTTCCAGTTCCTTCCGCTGTATGCGGACTGCCGACTTGGATAGCACCTTCTGGGCGTTGTATGATCCATCTAATACAACACCTAGTTCTTGAAGCTGTGTAACAAGCGGAATTATCGTTTCCAAAACCTTCCTCTGAGCTTGTATTGTTACACTTTCTGCCACCATCTCCTCTATACGGCGTTGCAGGGCGGCGATGAGCTGGGACGGGGCACCGTTCTTTTTCTATGGAAGGTCTACTGCGAGTGTATAATTGCCTCCCGCGATCGAATATCGTATGATCAGCTGACGTGCCTCATGACGTAGTGCCGATAGTAGGTAGTTGAATTTATGCAATATACTTAATGAGTGCTGAGCGTCCACATTGGCCTCAAATAGTGTCCAAAAATTTGAAAAGTCCCATATGATTCCCTCAAATATTGGTATTGGGACAAGTGGTAGTCTAGGTGCTGTTGCGTCTAGTTGATAGGGACCCCTTGTCTGCACTGGAGGGGCACCTGACTCTAATGCTGCTGCAGTATCTAGCGCTTCCATGTGTTTGGCCTGGAGTTGCAATGCGAGCTCCTCAGCTTATCGACTGCGTTGTGTGCCTTCTCAATATATTCCTCTGACTATGCTTGCTGTTCTGCGGTGAGAGGTTCACCAAGGCCATCCAGCGCTTCAACCAATAAAACGATTTTGTCTGATACCAATTGAATTGATCTTTCAGTTATACCACATATTCCTTCTTCTCCAGTGGCGGGGCATCGCATAGGAGCCGATTATCGCGTTCACTCCCATATTTATTGATCAGCCCTACCAAGATGTTGCAGTACCGAGTGAGGAGAGATTTTGTTTTTAGCGAGGTTGGACCCGACAGGGTCATTTTTCGTACTTGATTCTTTGATTTATGGATTTTAGTCGAAACAAGGGCAGAGAATGAAAAAAGCCGAATTCAAAGAGAAAAATCCTATCAAACTGTCGAAGTGAACAAGCAAGCGTGTTTTTTCTTGGCGTGAGTTTTGCGCGGGCTTTCAAAACAAGGCTCAAGAGTTCTAAGCGTTCAAATGAAATTTCGGTACCTTTTCACTGGCTTTCTGCTCCTTTTGGCGGATTCACCGTAAAAGTTGTTCTCTGATATGTATATGGATGGCATATGCCTCCTATCTCCGATATATGTCGACAGTGGTGCAGTGGATAATATTATTTATGTGGTACAACAATAGACGGAACCATACAGCAAATCGGGAGGCATAAGTGTGCAGAGCTGACTTGAAGTGACTAGCGATTCCTAGGTGGTCTCTTTATACCCCTTGGGCTCAAAACCAAAAAACAAAACATCACTTCCGTCAGACCACCTATGGCTCAAAATCCACGATTTTGTTGATAGCGAAAGTCGCAATACAGTGTTTGGCCAACCGATGTGCAACTCAGTGCTTTTACCCTGACAGATGAGTCGAAAAAGTAGGCTCATTAGGAAGTACACCACCACCGCGCTTGGGTGATGATTCACAGATAAAATTCAGGTTGAAAAGATTGAATGAATTGCCTTGAAAGAAGTTCCTGGACTCGGCTGGACGACTTTTTTACAAAAGCATAGTAGCCGATCCAATGATCCTGCTGCTACAGAGTGATGTTGCTGCCTAAATGTCATTTTGATGCTTACTTTCTTATCCGATAGAGTACGGAACATTGTTTCAGTTATTCCCATTTCAGCAACTGACCACAGTTGATTGTAAGGCAGAAATGGATGTATTTGTGGTAAAAGAGCTAGACAAATGCTATCACATAGCCATTGAGCATCTCAGTCACACCAAAGACGTCCTATTCCGGAACAGCGCAGAAACCGTTGAAGGAGGTCGGTTTTATCCGGTTGCTCTGAACTGGTCGTGATTCGTAAGAAGTGCATAATGGCTTTAAGTTCTCATCATGCTGCAATATACGTCAATACTTTGAGCCGACAGACCTAATGTTTTTCAAGTTTTAAGAGCCATCCGGAGCTGACCTGCTTCTTAGTTATTAAAAGTTATACAATGCAGCTCTTATTTATAGTTGGCGAAGAACGTTGGCAGGTTGAACCATGGTCTTTTATGGATTCACTGCTTTTCGCATTCACCGTGATCACAACGATAGGTGAGCGTTCATGTAAAATTTCGAAACTTTTCTGAGATTTCTGACGACATATATACCACTACATATAAGAAACTTACACTCCAACGCCGCTTTTCGTCTTCACACATGACCATTCTTGAAAGCCTAGTTCACGGTCGAAAAACGTTTCAAATAGGGCGTAATAAAGGCAAAAGCGGGTGTCCAATGTACGCCTCTGAAGACGGACGTATAGCGTATGCACAGCCATATAGCTATCCAAGATAAAGGATTAGGAGGATTTTTAAGTGTCGGAGTAGTGTTATAGAGTGGAATGGGGTGTCAGTTAGGGTGAAGATTTACTGGAAAAGCTAACACGTTGATAGAATGTAGTGATACGCTCAACAAACTCCTATTGGGATACTGAATCTTTCGAGTTATGTGATTAACTGCTATTGAAATCGCAATATGACTTAAGCAGGCGAGAGCAAATGACTTCGAGTCAGCTGGCTCACTTGTGCCGCAGTTAGATAGAATTCATGGCGGTTTTTCTCCTTTTTTCTGAGTAGAATCGAAATTGGACCTTAGGGATGAACAATATCGTTGGAGAATCTTCTTAATCATATCATCCTAACTTCATGGCTATAAACCATAAGTTCAGGTTACGGCAACGTGGCCCCGAGGTCGTTTGGTGGACGTCTCTTCGTAATTGGCTACGGACTAGTTGGCATCCCTTTCACCCTACTAGCAATCGCTGATCTCGGAAAATTTCTTTCTGAAATGATGTCGAAGTGGTCGAAGGCGGCCGTGAAATGGAAAAAGTCAGTTTTCAGCCAGTCTTGCGTGGTTGTTTTGCTGACTAGATTCATTCAATTCCCTAAATCAGGTCAGATTAAGAAAGTCAGAGTGGATCTATTAAGTATACTTTTCAGAAAAATAGTTCGAAACGACGGCCAGTTCTAGTGCTCGAATAAGAGCTCTCTTTATGAAATTTCACCACCAGATAATGTTTTGCATGGCATTTGGAAATAAGTATAGGGTGCTTAATGTGGCGTGAGGCAAGATTATGGAAACAAGAGTTGGGCGCACTATCCTTAACAACTGAAAGGTTTTCCCTTCCGAGACTTCCTTTTTTCTTTTATCTGAATCTTTATAACCTGGTATTCCAATCACCATGAAACTTCTGTTTTCCTCGACATCGATTAAGTCATTGTTTGAGCGTGGTTCGAAATTCTATCCATGCCCTCAAGGATTCCGAGCAATCTTTATCACGTTTTGTTCTAATGAATCAGAAAATATTCTTCAAAGATCTTTGCAATGTTCATGGAGCTGACAAGCCTTTCCGACCGCTCTCGACGTGGAAGTTTTTTGCAACGTCAATGGCTAATTTGAGCAGCCAGCTCATGTTAACACTGTTAGTGCAGAGACTGCAGAAGAGATGTTGATTTCTACGAGGTTGTATGAGTGGAATTATGAAGGACTTCTTGGAGAAAAAGGCTTACAAATGAGAGAAAAATCATTTCTATCTGGTTATTCAAAAAGGGCGAGGGAAGAACTCCGATAAATGAAATGAGATGGAATAAGAAGCTTTTGGGACGGTTTCTCGACACACCGAAGCATTCTATCTAATGACTGGATGGCCTCTACTACCGAACAAGAGGCCCAGTACGATGTTCACTTGGTCAAATGATCTAAAATCTTTGATGAAATTCATCAGAATAAATGGTACTAAGGAAACATGGCTCGTTCGGTACACAGAGCATATAATGCTCAGCGCATTTGGTTATCTGGGCACTCTAAAAAAAAGGAAATGTGGTTCAGAGGTATTTTGACAAAAAATATCGGTGCTCCCAGGAACAAGGTGCCCCGGTATACCCCTGTCTATTATGGTTAAGATTTCTCAGGTCTGCTGCAAGCATAACTTTCGAAATTTCGTCGCCACTGATGAAGGGTACTCCTTTCTGGTGAACCTCGTACCGCTTGAATTCTTTGTATAAAAAAACCCTTGAGTCAGGTATGCTTCGTCGCATCTCGATCACTGAAACGTAGCTCTGCGAAAATTTAAGGGAATTGGAACCGAATGAATCTCAGTTCAAAACGTATTACGATACATCAATCTTGAGTGTTTCAAAGTAGCAAGGCTATCATAAAAAACTACGGCTTCTTAGGCATCTTCAAGGGGTGTGGCGTTCAAGAACAAAGGTTAAAGGTCGCTATGTCACTGGTCAATCCAGCTCCAAAGATATTTTGGAAAAAAGTCAAAGTCGGGAGGAAATTGTGACGCTTGAAAATGGCAAAGTATGTTTATAGTTGAATTTTTTTATTGAAACGGTCGGGTGACACTCGATAAATTGTAAGTCGCTTTTTTTTGTAGGCTACTGCCATCGCGGACTCGGAAGATGAAGACGAGGAAGATCAAACATTGCCACTTTTCGCGTTTTTCGTGGCTTATATTGCAATGGGTAACGTTTCAAATATTTCTTTCATGCTTGAGCTCTTTCATTAATTCTGTGTTTGTTTATGGAGCTTATGGACGTTGAAGTCACAGAACACGATAATTCTGGGGTATCTGATTCTGGAAGAATAATGGAAGTAATCGTCCAGAATTGTGCCAAACAGGAGAAGAAAACGCGGATGTGGGCGTGTTCAGAGAATTAAAATGCTTGAAACAAAAAATAGTAAAATTAGGGGTTGGACGAGAATGTGACCACAAAAGTTGCATGAGATGGGTGTTTGGACGAGCTGCCCATATGTGTGCGCATTTATTGCGGCTGGCTACAGTAAACTGCTTGCATGCAACTTGTGCGTTCCTGTGCGGATGGTGCAACCTGTACAGCCTCCACAACGTCATCCTTTGATGTCACAGGTTCATCTCGGGGAGAAATCGGCAAAACTATTTTTATCGTCACCTGTGCCTTTGACTAATTGTACTCGTTACAGGAGGCCTCATGCTAGCCACTTACGAGCCAGACATGGACTTTTTCAAAGCGGTCTATTTCAACTTTGTGACATTGACCTCAATCGGACTAGGTGATATTGTGCCACGAAGGTATCTTGGTCCGAACTTTTCTGTCTCTCATAAAAAAAGCAATACGACTTCCGACGTATATAGTGTTCCTAGATTGCTGTGGTACCTATTCATTCTGTTCTGAATTGCTTTTTCAGCGAAACTTATATGGCATTGACGATCGTCTATATTGCGGTCGGTCTTGCTCTCACTACTATAGCCATAGAGATAGCTGCTGATACACTGAAAAAACTTCACTACTTTGGACGAAAAATCGAAAATGTTGGCAATGTAGCGATTTGGTTCGGAGGAAAAAAGTCAGTTGTTTTTCCTCGTTAATTCGAAACCAGTGGGACCACTAGCATCTTAGAAAATCTGTGACGCCTTGGTGCGGATATTGGATACTCTTGTGGATGGAACCTCTAAATTGATTTTGGCGCAGCTCACAATAAAAAATGCTCCTATGATTTCTCCCTACGATGGCTCTGTCGCTCTGAACGACAGCAGAAGGGACGTCGTTGGGTCGAAAAACGGCATAGATAGGGCAAAATGAGAGATTCCTAACCGGCTCAGCTGACGTGCACTCCCACAAGCGGCGTTGTAGAAGCTGTAGAGGTTGTAACGTTCGCACACGTCGCACGCAGGCATTTTACTGTAGCCTGCTGTACGCAATGGCACACAATTCGGGCAGCTCATACAAATATATCTTCTATGCAGCTTTTGTCGTCACATGCTTGTCCAATTCCTGAGTTTACTACCTTTTCATAGACTTAGATTCCTTTGATTTTCAGCCGTTTTTTTTTTGAGTTTTCGCTGAGTCTTCGCCACTTTTTCACTATTCTGGTCTATTGCTTCCATTATTCGTTCACCTAAAATCACCTAAATCATCTACATCACCTAAAATTATCAAGCAGTGTGCCTTCAAATAATTATCTCTGCTACAGTCTTGAAGTCTTTTGACGTCAATCAATCCCATGATGCATCCCCGTACTAGACTTCCCATTCATAGTGGCGTAATTAGTGCTTATGCCGCCTGTACAATGACTTGCGGCGGCCAGCTGATGTACAAGTCAGTGCCTTTAATCTCCTAAACAAGTCCTGCATCAATTAAGGAAGGTTTGATTAGCCTATGTATATCGGTCCGGGAATCGAACCCGCGACTACGCGTGTGTGGTAGTGCGCCACAACCTCCGGCTTTTAGATTCATTGTTACCGACAGGTTGAAACTACTCTCCTCGACTCTCAGAGTCTTATTCGCATTTTCTTTCGTTTGCAGCTTGTCTTCATTTGAAAATGTGAATTCAAAACCTTATTCCCCACAGCGGATAGCTTCTATATGGGGAACAAACAACTTTCAGAACAAGCAAGTTTCAGGATCACTATGAAGGCGCTGGTTAGGAATCTTGGTGATCAGTTCAACCTACCAACGACGGTTGTTAAAAACCTGGATTTGGATCGTTTTGTAGACCAGGCAATAAAAGTGGAAGAGGGCGAGATTGAAACCTTACGAGTAAACTTACATTTATTTTACCTATAATATCGAATTCTTCCATGCGTCGAAGTTGTTCCCAATATCCGCAATTTCAGCCACCCCCTTTCGATCCGAATCCTGATGACTTTGGTGCAACATTTGTGGATGACGTAAATCAAGGTCTGCCGTCTGATCTGCATCTTTGCGAGTTTTGGTCACTGTCAGACTCTCCAACCGTTTTATTTGTGTTTTTGGTCTGCACCCATTAGCTCCAGTTGTATGGTCAAGAGCTGAGCTGAGCCTAGCTAACAAAATTGTACGTCAGGGATCGGTGGAATTCTGAAGGGCTTGGAATGAACTACAAGTTTGTTTCGGCAAACGAAAATCCCTTTGCGAAACCAACACCTGCTTCCATGTGTTAGATAGCTCTTTCTGAGTGCCAGTCAGAACTCAATGAATAAAAAGGTGCCTTCGAGAAAGGACCGCATAAAACCCAAATGTCAATCATTGTGTGGGAGCGTTTGCATCTCTAGGTTTTAGAGTAGTTAACTGCAATGCTTTTGTTTGCCATCACCTTGAGTAAAGCATGGACTGGGTGCACAGAGCGTGTTCTAGAGGTGTGGAAGAGTGATCCAACACCGCCGCCTTCGCCATCACCTTTGCCTCCGCCTTCGCCTTCGCCATCACCACCGCAACCGTCGACGTCGCAGCTCATAGAAGAGGCACCGGAATCGGAGCCGGAAGAAACACCCAGTGAGCCGTCACCTATCCCCACGCCTCCAACTATGCATACACCATCTCCAGGTACTAAATCATTGCATGTGTAATCGCACTTAGAGTCGAAGAAGAAGCTCAATAAATGTAATAGATTGCATGAGTAACATACTGCTATGCTAGCTTGTTGTGGTCAAGAAGTTGAAGAGTGATTTTGCAGAACCGATAAAAGACATCCCTCCACCAAGTTCCGTGCCGAGCCCAGCGCCTCCACACGAACCGACTCCGCCTCCAACACCTTCACCAAAGCTTGAACTAGAGCCTGAACCAGAACTCGTGCCGCAGCCGGAGCCAGAACCCGAACCACAATCAGAAATCGGACCAGAACCTAAGTCAGAACCCAAACCACCACCACCACCGGTTGGTTTGTAGATTCCATAAAGTAAATTTTTCTGATAATCAACATTAACGTTCCAGGAACTGCCAAAGAGAGCAAAATGTGAGTAAACTTTAGAACCTTGCTGTTTACCCTTGGTTTGTGCCATTTTCTTTTTTCTCTCTTTTTACGAATCAGATGCTTAGTACTATATATTTTGTTTTTTTAGGTGCTCCTGGTAGCTCAATGCGTTAATTATTGAGCTTAATATCAGTCACCCAGATTACAAGCTAGAATTGACTTTTATGCCCTTCAAACTGATAGGATCTGCCATTCGTACTTCATGAGGAATGACTGAGGGTTTTCGTGCAGCAAGGTAGCGGACGGAGTATCAAACCTCAGTTTGTCTAATAGTCACAGGACATGTGCGATGGGGGTTAGGCTTGGTTGAGCCGTTTAATCAAATGTAATTGATCGGAATGCAATATTTTGTGAAAGGCATAAAAGAAGTAAGCACTTGTACTTAAGGGCAGCCGTTTCGATTCGACTGTTCCGTCCGAGGTATGCGCCTTCTGCATGCGACTTCATTCAGAATCGTAAGGGCTTACTGAGTGCGTTTGTGGCCAATACAATGCTACTGGGGCCAGCCGATCTACAAATTACTGATACGACCAGCCTACCCAGAATGATGGTGGGCTTGGTTGGCCTTGGCGTATACCGATCCGGGATTCAAACCCGCGACTACGCGAGTGTGGTAGTGCACCACTTGCCACCACACAAGCTGAATGATGCGCTCAGTATTCCTAATATGCGTTCTTTTCAATTTCAGTAGCTCCTATAGCTTGTGACTACAAAAGCAACTAGCGTTTTCTGCCTCGATGGTAATGTTGTACTTTAAGCTCTGTTCTGTATTCAGCTCATCAGTTGACTCCGGCTGAGATTGCTGCCCAAAAACGACGAGCATACAGTGAAGAAGCGTGGCGGCGGTATCAAGAGTACCAAAAGGTGATTTCGTATTATAGTTATTACCATGTTGCTTTATATCTCTTAAGATTGAATATTCTAGCAATGGAAGAAATTTCGACAAACGCAAAAGACGGGTACACCCTCCTCATCTGCCAGTGGGCGAGGCAGCTCAGGACCGGAATCATCGAAAAGTTCTACCAATCCAGGCACACCAGAAAGTTCAACGTCTAGAACGTGATCATGTAGCATCCCACGCACATGATTTTTTCATTTTTCGAATAAATGCAACATATGTCAAAACATGGGCAACTGTGAAAATTGCTTATTACTCCGTGGCTGGTATGTGCCACTTAGTTGTCTCAGCTCGACATATTTGCGTGGAGTGCAGCTATATGCCATACACCCCAAGTTCGGGCAAGATTCATGTAGTTCACCCTCACCAATAGTACACGCGCGACAGTCATGAAAGAGGCAAGCGACACAGGCTGCTTTCATAGTCCGCGTGCCGGCCGGCCGGCCGGCCGGCGGACTATGAAAGCAGCCATACATGCAAAACACGTGCAATATACAGCGACCCTCCTGAGAACTTGTAGGATATCACATCCCTTACACACATACCAGTCGGCTCGCCCGGCTGACGTCGGGCTCCTCTCCTTCTAGTGTTAAAATGGCCTCCCGCCTGCTCCTTTCTCAAATTTGGAGGCCTCGTTAGATAGGAACAGGTGTTGTTCATTCCCGGCCAAACACAAACACCCAACACAATTCGTGCGCGCCCGCCTGCCATGACCAAACCTTCTTAGGTTCTGTCTGTTTAGTAACTCGATTTATTTCCGACTTATTGGTGGTCGGACCAGCGCTTTCAAGGACCAGCCTAGTATGTTCTGTTGAAGTGCCAGACTGCAAACACTGGGTTCAGTTCGGTACAGGACTTGGATACAATGAGCTGAAGGGCGGTGCAGTCGAACCCAAAAAGCGACGTACCACTTCATGAATGCTTGGGCATGGTGGTTGCCTTGATCGGCAACCGACTTTTCTTTGTGGGCGATTTTGAATAGGTCGTCTGAAGAACGTCCTATTCATGGTCGGGTTGCCGCTAGAGGCTGGTAATTTCCGTTTATTAGAGGATTTATATCAATTGCTAGCTATCGATAATTTGCCATTTGAACTAGAAGCAAAAGACTACAATTTTGCTAGAACTTATCCACTGCTCGTTTAAAACGTAATCGCGCGGATGAGAGTTCACACCTCATAAAGTGAATTCGCCGAAGCCTCGCCCCACCCACCATCACGATAACCGAATCTCAGGCTCAACCTTGAACTCGAGCTTATACTAATAAGCCTTAGACCAATATCATGCCCTTCGCATCAAAATGCACGGGGAGCTGCCGGCTTGCACAGACATTCGGTAAACTAGCACTTGTTGCACAGATGTAATTGAGATCCAAATTATCTCACGTTCACTGATCACATCAATGCTAAGCAGTGCGATTCTCCTTTCCGCTTCCCTCCCTAAATCTTCAAGTCCATAGCATGACTTTTTTTCTTTTTTCCCTTTTTCAGTTTTTCCATGGAGGCCTTTTTTTTACAATTATAGGCTATGACAACAAGCTTTAACTTACGCTTCCTAATTTATTTCTTGACCTTCAGCATTATCACCAGCAAAAGCTGCACTCAACACTCGATGGTTCATTATCCGGTTCCGGCAATGAGTAAGCTAACGGTGCTCAGGACATGCGCTTCGGCTAGTGAGCAACACTTCCATATGCCGGTATTTCCTGCTTCCCAATCAGGGGAAATCTGTGAAGAGGAGGACACGGAAACTTCTAACGCTGTCTGTTCTCAATGTCAAGTAAATGACTGGACGAAAAAAAACTGATCCTCAACTTTATGGCTACTAACATCAAAAACGAAACGAACTGGTGACAGTTCACAAAAATTTACTAATTGGGAAATCACAATCTAGGAGGAATGCGTCACTAAAGCACGGAGACCATCCTCCAAAAAGTGGAAAACAGGCTTAGCTTGTAGCTTTTTACTCACCCACAAGGGCAGGAATGCAAGATGGATGCATTTTTAGTCCCTTCGCTTCTACTGTTCGTGCTCCAGGGGTGGGCGTGGTCTCGGCCGTTGAGCCGAGCTCGTCCATCGCACCTAATCAAGGTCAGTACCGTATTTGTTACTGTTCGTACTAGTGAACTACGCTAAATGAGGGAGGACAGAGAGCAAGAGATTGCCTCAGGGAAAACAGAAGAGCGGTGGGTGTCGAGTGCTCTATGTGCGCCGTTTTCTTGATCTCTCTGTCAATGATTTTCACGGAGTAACGAGCAGTGATTTGTAGGGTGCTATGGCATGTAGAACAGCCGATGGGCACTGACTCATACATCTTCAGCGGAAAGGAAATAGTGCCAGTCGCACATTGCACAAGTCGCTTCAATGAGCTTAGAGTAACTATAACACGGACTAGTGCGATTCATTCGCTCCATTGTCAGTTTGTGATTGGAGACACACTTCATCAGTCCATTCATAAGCCTAAGCATAATACTAAGTTCGATTCCAACTTCAGCTCAAGCTTAAGCCTAAGCCTAAGCCTAAG